TCTGCACTTCCTCTCTCTCGCTCTCTTTCTCTCTCTCTCTCCCTCTCTCCCTCTCTCTCTCTCTCGCTCTTTTTCTCTCTCTCTCTATCGCTCTTTCTCTCTCTCTCGCTCTCTCTCTCTCTCGCTCTTTTTCTCTCTCTCTCTCTCGCTCTTTCTCTCTCTCTCGCTCTCTCTCTCTCTCGCTCTTTTTCTCTCTCTCTCTCTCGCTCTTTCTCTCTCTCTCGCTCTCTCTCTCTCTCTCTCGCTCACACGCTCTCACTCTCTCTCTCCCTCTCTCTCTCCCCATCTACTTTAATCGACCTTCTTCTTCCCTTGCTGTGATGCTATTTACCTCCATTGGGACCTCTTTTTCCCTCAGCGCTACCTCTCTGTCTAGTCTATCTTCTCTCGCTAATTTTGCTGCCGCTTGTAGGGTAGTACTAGGGTTCTGCGCTATTAGTTTCCTCCTAATCGCCTTCTTAGCCAATCCATCTATGAAGGATTCTACTAACGTTCCTGGCATTCCCGGTGCGTGTCCTATATCTCCTGGGTAAGCCGTACTGTATACCCTGGCGATTCGTTTCTCAAACTCCTGTATCGTCTCTTCCCGCTTCTGCATGATTCTTTTCAAATCTTGTCTCGCGGCTAGCCGTTCAAACTGATCCCCGAATCTCTCCCTCATCAGTTCTAATAGCTCCTCCCCACCTATCCCCGCATTCTCTCTTGTTTGCCGAATGCAAAAATCCTATGCCGATCCTGCTGTAGTCATGAGGAGTACCTCCTTTAGGTCTGCATTCGCCCCCAGCCGAGCACCTATTCCCTCTAACTGTCTCTCATATTCTCTAAATTTCATGCTATCTGCCTTTGCATCTCCCGTAAATTTCCTTACTTCTCGTCGTATGCCCTGCAGCTTCATCTCATCTCTTATCTCCCTTACCACAGGATTAAGTGCCAGCCCCATAATCTGTACGATATCCCCCATATTTATCCCTTGCGCCATTGTAGATTACCTTATACTCCCTTACTGCCCGTTACCTAGCCCTACGCTTTCTGAAACGGAATGTGCATTAACCGCTGGGAAAAACAATCGGATTAGACCACTCATGCGTTAGAGCTGCGTATCACGTTTTATGTCACTGCGTGCTTCAAATTAAAGGCCACGCGCGACGGCGTGATCGTATTTATGTTTTAATACCTTGTGAAGAAATACCAGCTCAAGGATATAAAACACAGCCATATGCAGGGTTCTCCAAGCTTTTTCATTATAGCATGGCGGGTGCTGCCTTTACGGTTCTAGTTGCAAATCGCCGAAGGCGTTTTGCGTGCTAGTGGGGTCCGGGGGCTATGATATTTAGCATGGCGGCTATGATATTTAGAGTGGCGGCTATGATATTTAGAGTGGCGGGTGCATTTTAGGATGACGGGGCTCGACGATAGCCTGGCGGGCCACCAGGCTATAAGTGCTTTTGGAGAACCCTGATATGATAAACAACTCTACGCCAAGTTTTATATAATACACACATGAATCATATTTATTTTTCACTCTCCTCCAATCACCGCACGATACAATCTCAACACCACATTGGTTATAAATTCGTCATTTTAATAAACTGCCTGACGCCACCTACCAGCGCCGTCTGTACCTTCGCTAACGTTACCCCCCGCTTAATCTGTTGCGTCCCGACCCCGCGCATATAACCGCGGTATGTCTAACTCCCTAACTCCGCGACACATATATATACTTATACCCCGTTAACTTATATTCCCTAACCGCATTACTGTAACGCCGCAATCAATCTTACTCGCAGTATCAATGATCTAAACTATCAACATACTCTAACTATCATACAAAGAAAACGCATGTTTACGTATATGCCATCTGGTCGGAGGAGTTCGTTCAGATCGTCTCGCTTG